AAGGTGTGAAATATGGACGACCGTTAGATGTGCCTGAGGCGTAGATCTCATGTGGTGAGGTGCATAACAGTTGTGTTGTAAGGAGAAGTCACTTGTAACAAGAATATGTAGCTAGTTAATAGATTTCAGCCCGGGTGGCCTATCTCCAAGTGGTCGGTCTGAGGGAGATGTGGTTGGCACATGGTTTAAATACATTGGATTCGTAATGCAAAATGATGGAGAAATAGAAGGAAATGTAAACCATCAAATTCCAGTTGGGTAATTGAAATGGAGAAGAGTATCATGTGTTTTAAGTGACGCAAATGTACCACTCAAATTGAAGGAAATTTTTTATCGGACTACGGTAAGACCTGCAATTTTGTACGAAATAGAATATTGGATGGTTAAGAACCAATACAAGAATAAGGTAAGTGTAATAGAGATGAAGATGTTGCAGTGGATGTGCGGTAAGGGTGTGTTTGGTTCGGGGTAGATGGAGGGGAGGGGAGGGGAGGAGAAATTTTTAATTAAATATGTTTGGTTCAAATTTTAGGAGGGGAGGGGAGGGGAGCAAAATCCCTCCAAAACACACTTTTTGGTTCCCTCCGAATTGGGGGGATTTGGAGGGGAGGGGAGGGAATATGAGTTTCGATATTTAAAAATTATTATATTTACTAAAATATCCTCAGTTTAATTTTATTATTTCAAAACTATTTGTTATCTTTTGTGTTACTGTTTTTTCTCGATTGTTTTTATCAACTTATTATAATTGTTCTCCACCTTCAAATTATTTTATAATTTTTATAATTAATATAAATCATAATTATTATCTTTTTTTTATAAAAAAAATTATGTTTCGTTATATTCGTTTTTTTTCTTTTAATTTTGTTATGTACTCTATCATATTTTCTTTTGTATCAAATTGTAAACCATATCATTTTATTTATTTTTGTTTATTCATTTTATTAAATATTTTGAACCATTAATATTTAGTAATAAATTATTTTATATATTTGTTTTGTTATATGATTCATCATAATTTAAACAATGTTATTGGCATATAGTTTAATTTATGTTGGAAAGTTATAAGTCGAATCGATTGTACTCAATTTTTTAACTTATGTGACAAATAAATATTTTTTTAATAACTCAATATTAGAAATTTTATTACCAAAAAAAATACGCACGAATTTTTCACATTTTAATATCGTATGACTTATATAAAATCATAAGGATAAAAATGTAAATTATTAATAAAACTCCTCCCCTCCCCTTCTGAACCAAACACATTTTTAATTAAAATCCCTCCCCTTCCCTCCCCTCCACTCTTTTGAACCAAACACTTATTTAATTAAAAAATTCCTTCACCTCCCCTCCCCTCCCCTTCATTAAAATCCCTCTCCTCCCCTCCCCCTCATTTGAATCAAACAGACCCTAAGACTCTATAGGATAAAATTAAAAACGAAAATATTAGAGAGAATGTCTGGGTAGTGCCTATACTAGAGAAGATGGTGAAAAATAGACTTATGTTGTCTGGGCATGTAAGGATAAAATTGATAGATTCTACAGTAAAGAGAATAGATTAGGTGGAGAGAATGCAAACAATTAGAGGAAGGAGAATACCTATAAATTCTATCAAAAAATATATCAAGAAAGATTTCAAAATTAATAATTTGGATAGAAACATGATCCTTTATAGAATATCATGGCGAAAATTAATCCATGTAACCCACAATCAAGTGTCACATCAATACTCAGCATATTCAATCCACAATCAATCATATATGTATGCAATGCGACTCAACTGACACGACACAATGCATGTGGTACCATCACAATCCATACGGTTCCTTCATTGAACCCGATTCTCATCGGAATTCAGATAAGTCGTATACATTCCTCTAAACTACAACGTATCTCCACTCGACTCCCACTTGGAGTTCGTAAGAGACTAGACACCCATCATGGATTCCCACCTAGACTCGTCTCCACCAGACACATCATGAATGAAATACCACAATTATGCACAGTATAATTATCATTCATGCATAACACAAGATCCTCAATGATCACACGTGAGCCACATACTCACCGTAATTCCCTCAGAAATTACCACCACTGCCTAAGACTGTCCACATAAAGACAATCTTAGCGCGCAAGCATCAGACACGTCTCATAAAGACCATCACATAAAATTTTATGTTTTTATCATATTTAATGTCATTACCGATTCCCCTAGATCCAATCATATCATTTTAGTCTTACGGATCAAGGGAAATTGCATCGCACGCGAAATCGGAACATAAATTGCAAAAATGAAAAATTTCCAACACAGACCTGCACATACGCGTATGGCCCTGCCCCATACATGTATGACCTCGCTCACTCGCCCCAGGCCTGCGTATCATACGGGTAGGGCTCAAATGCCCAGGCCTGCGTATCATACGCGTAGGGCTCAAATGCCCAGGCCTCCATATGGCCAGAGGGGGTTTCCCTCCAAAAACTTCCCCAAAAGCTCCCCATACGCGTAATGGCCCTACCATACGCGTATGACCACTCACCCTTACGCGATTCTTACACGTACGACCAGAAGGTCGTGCTGGCATGGGAACAGGGCGCGTATGCTATGCGTAATGTCCTCTGGAAGTGTCCCTCATACGCGTAATGCTCCCTGGCATACGTGTATGGCCAATCTGCTATAGAAAATGGGCCTTTTGCATCCGTGCGATTTTTCTCCATTAGAGCACCTTCAAGCTCCTATTTCAGACCCAAAACAACATTTGCATCAGTATAATTCTTAAATCTTGATTCTTCTACATTAATTCATCATTTTATTTAAATTTTCTACTATCTGAAACCCAATTTCGTTAATCCCAAAACCCCATATTTTCAAATTTATCTCAATGGTAAAACACAACAACAACAATACAGAATTCACACAAATTTCACGTCAATATCAGCATACAGACACAAATTCGCAATAACAATCATTCAGATATGAAAATCAAACAACAAGAAGAAAGAATAAGCATAAAATCCTAAGAGGAAAATGAACCCTCACTACCTTCTCATGTTCAAACCACCATTAAAGAACTCATTCTCCCTCTTACCTTAATTTCAAGCTTTTCCTCTCTTCAACAATGGTGTAACTCTCTTGATTACTCTTACCCTAGCTCTGCTCCCTTCTTCTCTCTGTTCTCTTTTCACGCAAAACTGATTTTCTCCAACTCCCTTTCCCACTTTCCTCTAATTATGGTTATTTTCTTTAATTTTCTTAACAATAATAATCATAATAATAATAATAATAATCATAATAATATTAGTAATCATAATAATAACCCCAATAATAATATTAATAATTGAACTTTCCATCACTCATACCATTATTATTACAATATTATCCTAAGACTTAGTTTTCTTTAATTCTTTCCATTAAACTCTCACCCCCACTCTTACACACATACCCCTAACCAAGTCAATGCCAAAATAATCACCCAAAATAAATTGCAAACCGACTAAATAATTAAATGCATTGGATTCGTAACTCAATGATGGAGAAATAGGAGGGCATGCAAACAATCAAATTCCAATTGGATAGTTGAAATGGAGAAGAGTATCATGTGTTTTAAGTGACACAAATGTACCATTCACTTAATAGAAACATTATCCTTAATAGAATATTATGGCGAAAATTAATTCATGCAGCCGATCTCACCTAATAGAATAATGTTTAGATGTTGTTTTATAATTTATAAAAATAATTTACAACTTGCAAATAAATAATTAAATTATATTTCTCATTAAAGATTTGTTGAAATAAGATAATTTCTCAGCTCCTTCCTCTGTATATCTAAATTTATTTAAATGCAGCATCATACATATGGTCTTTTGCCCTTTCTCTCATGTGATGATCTCTATCGTCCATTTATTTACTAATATTGTTGACTGTGTATATTAGCCTAAAATGAGTAGATGAGTTTAGGCAGAACCATTCAGCCACTAGAGAGATTACTTAACATAAAAAAACCGCAACTTAGGAAGATGGATTGAAAAATCATTTATATTTTTCGATTAAGATGATCAACTTGACACATTATGAAGATAGAATTGAATATTAAGATAAAAGTCAAAGATGAGAAGAACCCTACCTAACATTCTCTAGACAAACTTCATTCCCATTCATATTGCTTTTATCTTCTTTTCAACTTCACCACATAGATCAACACAACACAGCAACAAAAACACATTGGCTCCATTCTTCTTTTGTTGCATTCTGTTTACCTTTGTTATTGTTAAATATTATATAATTCTTACCTCTTTCAATATCAATTTTAGTGTTAGAAAGAATAGTGCAAACACTAATGCAACCTGAAACTTGTATTATAATCCAACACAACAAACCCCAAATGTGTATTGTTCCAAGACAAATGAGAATTCATAAACTGTACTGCCAGAGTAAAGAGATATTTACAGGACACATAACACAACTTTTATAATGAACCAAAACACAAGACGACAAAACAAAGTTTTCTTTGTTTCTAAAATCTACACTTGGTTTCCTAACATGAAGTTGATCAAGAGCCTTCAAACCCAATCATTCGAAATAGAAAGATGGTGTATTCAAACCGTCACTATTGAGGCAGTATAAAAACAAAATGTTCAAACGCATACAAATTCCAACCAGCCAAACAATCAACTTACAGTGTATAATTTTTTCAGACAAGTTTAAATTCTTCTCCATTTGACGCATGTCTAGATGCTATGAACATTTTCTGAAAAATAACATTAAAACGCCTATTAAATTGAATGTGCCTTTCCCACAATATAAAATATCTCAGAAGAAAGTAATTCGGATAAATAAAAGCACCAAAAATATATATTATACAATGCGATTGAATCCCACGGGACCCAAAAAGAGTTAGGTATTTAAGCTTGAGGAAGGATCAAAAGGTTACACAGATTGCAGATATTATTTATGATACCTGAAGTTAGTAGGGTATTAATATTGCTCTGTACCCTCTTTAAGCATCTGTTCACACACCAAACATAAATAGGTTAAACAACAAGAAACTGACCAAAATGTATATATTATAGCTTGTACAACCTCTAACAATCTTCTGTTTATTTTATGATTTGATGGCATAAGCAGTATTTAGAATTATTTTCTCTGACAATTGCAGAAAACAGCAATTTAGCAGATAGAGAACTTGATAATCTCTTTCGCCAAAGAAATAGTTCTTACAATCTCTTTTGGTTTGATACCTCCTCTTTCAAAAGACTTGAGTTTAGCAACAACTTTCGGTTTTTTGGTAAATAGCAAGTGGCTGTTAACTTCAATATTGATTGACTAAGTTTCATAACATTACTGTTAACTTCAAAGTGCAGAGCAAGTTGTAAATACTATTTTTAAACATATGAATGCATAAATGCAACACACAAATGATAGAAATTGGGATTGGGGATTAGGTAGACAACTATGCTTTGACCCTTGGTAGTGAAGTTTCAATGTTATAGCTGAAAATATTAAGAGATGTATTTGATTTCAAACTTACAAAAAAATAAAAGGAAGCTTTTATAAGCTCATACGTGCTTGTGGAAAAGCTACATGAGAGAGCTTATAAACAACTGAAAAAAGTTAGGGTATGGAAACTAATTTCAAATTCTCAACTTGACAAGTTATTACTTAGAAGACTAAGATATCGTACTATCATTCCAATTCCTTTCCTATTGAAAAAGTTATCATAACTTGGTAAAAATTCAAAATTGTTGGTTCCCATTTTTCGACAACTAAGCATATCAATAACCAACAAACTGGAGAAATGTAAAGCAAAACTCGTCATCAAAAGTTCAGTGTTAACTACTTGGCTTTGACAAACACTTTCAATGCTATATACACTTTTGAGTTTGAATTCAGCATAAAAAAGAAGAAATGATCCAACCAGTTCTCTAATGAATCTCAAAGGGCACAATTATTAGTTGCAGTTAATAAAGTTAGGTCTTATCTGGGTTACTATGGATTAATATTGTTCAAGCTATTTTATATCACCTCCTAGGATTTTTTATTTTCTTTTACTTCAAATTTCTTATTGAACTAAATGTTCTAATTTCTCATAAGTTTTACCTTGTGTTGCTCTTCTATCTCTACTTTGGTGCAATTACACTGATAAAGTTTTTTTTTTTAGAGGTACCATCCTATCTCCTACCCAATTGTCATCTAAAACATCTTCCATCCAATACTTATCTATAATAATGCATGCCAATCTTCCATTCCCAAACAGACATTTTCCCAAAAGTATAAAGAGCCAAGCTCTTTGTTAGCCCACACCGGTACTCGTGAAAACAGATGCTACCAGTATTGATATGTCTTATTCTTTAGTCTGCTCTTGCGGTTTCTCGCATATTACTTGACTTGGTCATTTCAGTTTGTCAAATATCAGTCACGGGAGATTGTGGTGGCGGATTTCGACAACCACCATGGCCAATTTGTGAAGGATGGATGCGCCGTGCCTTTTTATGGAAGATAGTGAAGCTAAAAAGAGCAGATGTCTGCCATCTTCCAATGATAGCACTGGGTTATTTTCTTGTTACTTACTAGAACGAGATTCTTGGCACAACAACTAGAGTGAATGTTAGTTTTTCTATTACATTCAAAGCTCTATTGGATGCAAAAGCAACAAATAGTTTCTCCCACTTTACCGTATGATACGGTGAAGTGGGAGTCCATATGTTCAAGGAAAACAGACATAGAAACAAACACACCAAGAGTTGTTGTCGTATGACTAAAAGGTCACAAGTTCAATTCATGTTACCAATCTCTTGCTTTGCATATGCAAGGTATAGCAAGCAGGTTCAAGTTCTACCCTTATCATCACCAAGACCCTGCCATGGTGGGAAGAGGTCAAGGCATCAACTTGGTGGGCAGTGTTGTACTAATCTAATAGTGGAAAGAAGGATTTCGGCCAACTTGGATGTCTAGGGACATGGAGAAAGGGTGAGGTCTTGTAATCGCAATGTAAACAAATTATGATTTGAGGCATAGGGTACTGTTTAATCAAAGGAAACAAATGGAGTAAATACTTGCAACTTGCAAGTATATTTCACATCTTAGGTACCGATATGCAAAATTAAATCATAATAGCCCGAAAGTGATGGCATTCCTCTTCCACCTAAACATATGATCATTATCATAGCAAAATGCCAACTTGTAAAAATGAAAATGCCAAACAACAAAAACAAAAACAAAAAACTAAGAAAGCAACATGACCCTGACCCTGACCCAACCAATGTAACTCCAAAAAACCATAACAACATGACAATCCACTCTAAGCCAAATGAATAAGATGAAAAGTTAAGTGCTCCCATCCTTTTCCACTCTCATTTCCGCTTCAACTAATAAATCATGAATCACATGATAGAATATAGATTCAATACTTTTCTCACTGTTTTTCTTTTTACAGTTTTTGAAACCAAATTCAACATTTTAAGAAATTTTGAGAAATTCAAAAACACCATTTTTATTGTTTCTAAAAATGCACTATTTCTAGCTACCTTCAAACTCCTCTCAAATATAACTATTCATTACATGAGTATTCCTTCTTGTTAGCAAGAAAATGAAAACTAAAAACCTATAAATCACCGACACCTAAAACACGACTGACACCGAAACTCATGTAATGATTTGAAATAATGAAAAAATTATACTTAATCACAAGTGTCACTACTGACACATCTTTTTTTAAATAGTGTTGGTGCTACATATCTGATTTGTAAGCAAATAGATATAAAAACTGGTTGAAAGTTTAAGATTTAAAGATTAAACCTTTCTGTTCATCATTAGCATCATGATACTCCTCATGTTCTTCCTCAGGCACAGAATGAAGTTCCACTTTTTCACCAACACCACCACTATCTTTCCCCTGAACTCCACCGCCATTACTCTCCTCCGGATAACGAACAACAACAACAGGACAAACACAGTGACGAACACAATAATCACTCACACTTCCAAGTCTCCCCGTAGAAGCTCTCTTCGAAGCACCGAATCCACGGCTTCCCATGATCACAGCACTCAATCCAAGCCTCTCAACTTCCAAACACAACCTCTCCTTCATATCATGATCCTTCACAATGTGGATCTTAAACGGAGTTTGCGACTCCACCAACGGTTGCGCAAGGTCACTCGCTTTCGTCGCCGTGAAATTGGCAAACTCGTCTTCGATTTTCTGCTGTGACTCCTCTGATGAATCACCGTCGTTGATGTTTAGGGTTTTTTCAACGGGACCCCAATCGGCGCCGTAGAGGACGCTAGTTGGACGGACGTGGAGGAGGATCACGGTATCGCCTGGTCGGAGATAGTTTTGAACAGCCCATCGGACGGCGTAGGCGCTTTCGTCGCTGAGATCAACGGCGATCGCGACTTTGCGATGGGAACCGGGTGGTAGAGCGAAACGAGCCGGATGATCCGGTTCGGGCCGAACCGGTGATTGTGGATTCATGTTGAGGTATGGAGGAAATTACGATTTTGGTCACCGGAGAGAGTGTTGGGGTTAAATCTAAAATTGGGTAGTTAATCGGAGTTTAAGGGATAACGGATGAAAGACTAAGGAGAAGTTTATTCCAATTTTATTCTTTCTTTCTTAATGTTGTTGAATTTCTATGATCTTTCTTTCACTGATTTATAAGTGTCGGCGCTAAAGATTTTATAATGTTTAATTAAACTATCTGGCGTTACATTTTGGTATGTCGTATTAGTACTTTGAAGTTTCGGAAATTGGGATAACATAACAAGTTAACTCGTGATTAATTGGATTTAACTTTCTTTTTTATTTCTCCAATATTTATTATTAAAGTCTTAAAACTTTTTTTCGTTGGGATATTTTATCCCAGTGGAAAAATGTCCTATAAAAAACTCAGAATATTTTTTAAATTTTAACTTTTTTTTAAGTTAAAATACTACGACTGATTTAGACATGTACTTCCGAAATATTTTAAAACATACTTCATGCATTATTTTAAACTGAGATGCATCTCCGAAATATTTTAAAAGACACTTTATACATTTCCTTTTTGAAAGACTAATTTTAAACATTTGTTAATTCAGAAATGCATATCTATTTAAGGTTTATGGAGATGTATCTTCGTAACCAGTCAAAATAATACAAGTTAAGTTAGTTATATGATTACTCAGATGAAAATGACGATTTATAATTGTTAAGATCCTTGTTATATGATGAGTATCAAACCATACAAATGATATGCAAAAAATAACATATATAAATCTGGAGTCAAAATAAGTCATCATGACATACACAATAAATTCGAAATATACAATGAAGTCGAAATAAGTAAATATAAAATACAATCGAACATAAATTCAAACTACAAATACTATCAACTATTGTGTATGCCGGACTCGAGCTCCTCGGGCTCTTCAGCCTACTCTCCCCCTCGTACTCTGACGTTGTCTTTGATATATCAGTGTCTCTCGTGCCTCATCATAATGGCATTTATGCCCTCTTTCACCTCAGAACCATCAGGAAAGATACCTCTTTCAATATCTTTCTACACAATCTTCACAATACGGCGACATCTAGGAAATACATCATGAGCATGATCTAACCTAGTTTGCTCTTTTTCTAGTTTCTCTTGATCAGTTAACCTTAGTGGATCTTCTAGAGCAGTTTGCACCATATATGAATGTGACACCCTGAAGAACTACCTGATGTACCCGTCTACATAACTTTATTCGCTCTCACCTATGGTACGTCGTGTCCCATCCGGTACCAGAAGACTAAGATAATCATCAAACACGACATTTATAACTCTACATTTCATAGTGGGAGGAGCAAAGACAAGAGGGTGTATGAGAATAGTCTAGATGTAGCTAAAATGGTACATGACGCATTGAGGAAGATTAGGAAATGTTAAACGTGAAACGCAAGTCAACCATCCCGAGTATAAGACTATGTCGTCAAGTCGCGTCTTACGGTGATCTACGTAGGTGTTAAAGTGCTTATTTCTACTACTAAGTGGTCAAGATACACTTGAAATGAATATGTCGCATGGTTCCCTTTGAGCGGAGAAAATGCATAAGCACGCGACATATCCTTAGTATAGGTCGCTACACACGACTAACCAGAGATGCATGTGAAGTGTTGAAGGATCCAAGCCTGAAAAATGTTGGAACACGTGAATCATTAGTAAGGGCGTTACAAAAATGCAATGAAAAAGACACACAAACACTAAAAGACCAATAAATATTACCATCAAAAGTGTGTTGTCCTGCTTTGTCTTTAACCTGCAGCCCTTAGGTAACTTAGAGTACAAGTAAACCGAACAATCGGTCCACCAGTTGTACTCATGAATCTGCTCAAAGTCCTCGAAATATCGTAGGTAGAGGACATCCATATAAATGACACTCTTGCACACAGAAATATCAGTGCTAACCAAATATAACAAGTATGCTCTCATAGCATACGCTCAATGCTTTCCCACCTGCTCGTCATCACCAGCAACATGCTTTGCTCTAATCAACTCATTTGTATATGCCTTTTCTAGGAATCCAAACCTAGCATGAGCCCCTCTGGTTTTTTAAAACTCCCTTAAGCCAATGTTTGGGTCAACTTCCAGATAGTCTACAATCAACTCAAATGCTTCATCTTTGCTAATCCTCCCATGATCTAAAAGCTCCCCCTAAACAGAAGATGCAACATACACGACACATCACCGAGGGTGATAGACATCTCACAAAGTAGTAGATAAAATGATGAGGTATCAGTATGTCATCTCTCTACAAATGCATTAAGCATCTCGTGGTTTACCATATCATTATCGGTCTTGAAAAAGTCTTTCATCCAAGATAGTTGTAAAGCAGTCTGAAACCACTCGTTGGTAGGATGATGCAAGCTAGTAACCTTTCACCTATAGTTTAATTTCAGCAGATCATGGTCCTGCATAAGAATAAATCATCGTAAGAAACTTTTAATATAATAATAAAAATTATTTAAATATAATAAATCCAATTAATTTTACTGGCTATAGGGAACACGAGCCTGCGAAACCTGACTTTTTTCCCTCCAGACAGATGCATGTTAAGCAATCATGTCGTGTCTCAATTTTCCGTCTCTATCATCCATAATGCATGTAAGTAAACCACACAAGTGTCACACAATTACTACAAACAACCCTACAAGCAAGAAAAGAAAAAAAATGCAGACTGATAAAATACGAATATGCATCCCTAGTTCATAGGAGTCCAAACGTTGAAAAAATACAAAAATGCATCTCCAAATTTTCCTACAACTTTTATTTTCGTCAATGGCGCTAATGCAAACTACCAAGACTCCAAAAATAATTCATTGATCATTACTTTTAACTATGAAACACATTTCTCATAATGCATCAACTATCAAACAGGTATAACTATGTATTTCAATACCTAATCATCAATTTCTACAAATTTATGCAAAAACTCAAAAAAAAAAAAACTTACAAGAATTGAGGAATCTTTGAATTTGATGTAGTTGAGTAAGCTCTTTGATGTTATCTGGTGATGATTGAAGAAGCTTTAGTGTTGCTTAATTGATGATAAGACAATGTGATTTTGAGAGAGATTTAGAGAAACATTTGTTTTTGTTAATAAGTGAGGAAGAAGAAGGGTTCTGACACGAGATGTACAAGCAGTTCCCAGAGATGCATCTTCGTAATGTTTATGAAAATGCAGCTATGTAGTTTTTTCACATTAAATCAGATTTCTATTGACTTAAGATATGTATGGATGCTATGAGTATTTTTGTATTTTCATGTGACGTCCTAGTAATACATAAGGTGTATGAAGAAATCTTTTTTTCATTATGGGTTTAATAAAAATGCACTCACAGTATAAAACTTTTTTTATAAATGGCAATATGTCACTCTACCATCTCATATAATTAATTTAAAAAGTATTTTGTTAATTAATAGAGTAGTTATTTTGAATCTTACGCTATTATTTATTTTCATTCATTAGGAGCCTTTATATAGACCTAATATTATTATGCAATGCCTTACAAATTTTCTCTTAAATTGGACAAAATTGACATATTGGCTAAAATCATTTTACTTCATGTAAGTCACATATGTTTAAGGTATATTTTAAGTGGAAAAATGTCTCAAATTTTAAATGTTTGGTAATTATTCAATCAATTATTTTTTATAAACAAAAATTGTATTAAAAAAAGAAACATAAGAGTTACTTCAATTCAATCCTAACAATACAACAATAAATAAATCTCTAGAAATAATATAAACCCACTGAACAACTTACTAGCAGAAACAATTGCTAACAAACTAAACTGCAGTCCCCGAAATGGAACTGGATTTAGTGATTTTGACATGGGAAAGTCACCATAACTTTCAAAAGTTCTCAACCGCTCGATCACTTTGATGCATTATATCAAGCCACAAACTATGTAACAGCCCAATTTTTCAATAATTAATTATTCATGTTAATTAATTTATTTATTTATTTATTTGGATTGTTTTTATTATTGGAATTATTGGTAGATATTTGAGAGGAGAATTTATGGAAGGAAATAGAATGGAAGGAATATAAGGAAAAGCGGAAAGAAAAGGAAAAGATAGAAACATAAGAGAAAAAGAAGAGAAAGAAGGAGGAAGAGGAGAAAAGAGAAAGAGAAGAAGGAAAAGCTTAGAATCATCAAGAACAACTCCTAACTTCCGATTTAATTAAGGTAAGAGTGTGAAATATTGTTATTCTATCAATTTCTATGATTATGTATGATTGGTTTGGATTGGTTGGATGTTTTCTCCTCTTTCCATTCTAGGGCATATATGAGTTTAATCGGTAGAATCAAGGTTTAACAGTTGGAATCGAGAATAGAGGGTGTAGTTTAGTCGAGGGATGTTAGACTAAGACTATAGGAACTGGTTTGGTGAGAATCGGTTGATTTTGTGAAGAGTTGAGGATTGATGACAGTGAGGGTTTTTGAGTTCGCAGACGTTCGCTAGCACCTTCGCTAGGCGAACAGGTTGCGAGTGTTCGCTAGCAACTCGCTAGGCGAGCAAGTTAGCGAGTGATCCCAGACTTGGACAAAATGCATTTGATCTGGTTCACTGGTAGCGAGTGAGGTAGCGAAGGATTCGCTAGGACCTCGCTGCAGCGAGTAGGTAGCGAACGAAGTCAGTACCTTCTGTTGCCTTCGTGAGCTTGTTCGCTAGGCAAATAGATAGCGAGTATTCGCTAGGGACTCGCTAGGCGAGCAAGCCAGCGAGCGTGATATCATTTCATTTTCTTTGTGATTCCATCCGATATTGATTGTTTGGTTCGATTGTGTTCGATCCTTATCGGAATGAATAGTTGTATACTATGGTGTGATACATTGTGGGTAACCGTATGACGTGAATCCTAGATTGTGGAATCGATTATGAAATGTGGTCTTTTGACAAATATATGCATTGTTTAAATTGATTAAAGTGCATGATGATTGTGATCGAG